CAAATCTTTTTAAATCCATCGGTTTCATATTTGACACTTCTGCATTGAAATCATCTTCCTCATGTTAAGTTATTGAACCCCACAAGAGGGATTGGATCTTCTCCTGCAAAGAAACAAAGTATGTGTTATTACAATCAAGTTTTACTCTATCTTTGTTTCCACCGATAAATGTGATATTAGAAGTAGGAACGAAAAATCTCAAAAGTAATTCATGTTAGGAAATATAGGTGACAGTCAGAAAATAATGATAAATTCTTATACTTCTTATACTTTTGAAAGTGGTGTGTATACGTTTCTTGAGAGCATATTGATCAACAATTAACATATGAGAGATATGTCTATGAATTTTTCAATTCCGTAAAAGGTATTTTTAGTTAACTTTGAGTGTTCCTGGTAGATGGAAAGATGTACCGTTTCTGTATGATTTACACCTACACTTATTCTTGCTGATGACAAAGTGAAAACAAAGATCTATTTAGACAGTGAGTAAATCAGTTTTTTATGTTGTAAACGCTCCATTCTTATGAAGTTACTAACTATATGTGTCTGATATTGTTTTCTAATCACAGTTAAGGTATGGTTTATCCATTTCAAGCGGTAGCGTTTTCAGTGATATACAAATAATTCTTGTTCACATGTTCTAGCAAAATAGGATAACAAGTACTTTAGAACTAAAAATTCATGGATACGGACAATTTCTGTACATGTATTGTTAATATAACGTGTTTTAATACGCTTCAATTTGTTTTACCTCTATTACAAATCACCCAAGTCAGATTTGATACAATTGTATAGAATTTCGGTTTCAAAGCTCGTGATTTTTTTTGGTTATTGATTTAGCCTTCTAACAGTTTTAGATTTAATATTCATTATCTAGAGTCGTCACCTACCGCTTAGGAAAATAGCGGGAGATAATAAAAAAAACCTGTTTAGATTCCTAACCTATAATCTTTGTGTACAGGTCACATGACAGGTCATTGACGATGCGTATTGTAGAAAGATATTATATGCAGGTGTAATATCACCAAATCATAGTACGTCATATTCGGTTTCATACGAAAAAGGGCCGAAAAAATATATAAACATATATATCTTGGGTGTTTCAAAGCACACGTCTTTTTTTATTAAGTGTTTCTTTAAACTATTTTGGAATTTGAGGTGACATGGTTACTTCAGCTTGTCAACAGGAAAAAAAAGGCGGGAAATTGATTGCTTAACTTCAAGTGATGATTATTATCTTATATGCAATGAAATGTTATAAGAAATTTTTACTGTAGTACTGGACAGGATAAACTTTATGTATGCCAAGTATTTCTTTATTTGAAACAAAGATAAATTCTGCAATGTTTGGGAATAATTGAAGAAAGACTAATAGGGGAAAACAATTTAGGTATAACTTCAATTTTGGGAAGTTACATATGCATCTTTGACCTTGTATGTACTCTCATATTTTTGTCACTGAAATATTGCAAACATTAAATTATCTGAGTCGATTGAGTCTCAAAATCACATTTTAAGGAACATTGCCTTGAAACAGGGCTCTACCATGAATATCAAAAGGCAAAGCAAGCCATACTCAGTGTTTTGGGAAGCTTTTTCTGACTTTTTCTCCTCATTTCCTATAGTAGGCGTTAAATAATTCTTTATGAAATATACAGTTATAAGTAGTAAATAAATAATTTTTGAACCAGTAAAAACAAATTATTAACTAAAAGGGAACCATTCTATGTCCCTCTCTGGAACGCGGACTTATTGAAACCTCCATGGAGTCAGCAAATTTTTATATAGATAGTTCATTTAGCTTGAACACTTCAATTACTCATTTATTATCACATTTCTTACATAAATGTGTGAAAAGGAAAAAAGCACAAATACCGGACTCTAAGGGAAATTCAAAACGGGAAGTCCTTAATCAAATGGCAAAATTAAAAGCTCAAACACATCAAACGAATGGAAAACAATTTTCATATTCCTGACTTGGTAGATTAATCCTGGTTTTATAGCTAGATGAACCTGTAATTTGTATGACATACAAATACAGTGAAACATTAATTATAAACATTCGTTCTCATAAAAAAAACCTGGACCCGACCGATGAAATTTTCTTCTTTAAGAACACTTCCTTTTTAACTATTATTCGTGTCGTCTTTGGTCAATTAATTAATCATTAAAACGGGAAAACAAACTAGTAAACAATGTTTTCAATAAATATCTTTAAGAATAAGAAAAATATACTACTATGTAGGATTGTAAATTATCAGCTGCAACTCAAATATGAAGCTTTTTATGCAAAAGTTGAAATAGCCTACCAAACAGAAATGCTAAATAGCAGAATTTCGAAAATACATTTAGTTGACATGAAAATAGTATCTGCTTACCCATCCCGCTTTTTTGTTCGGTTCGTGTTTCTCAGTATCAAGTTTTGTGTGTAGTATTTTGTTCTTGAATTTTCCTTGGAAGTCGGTATTTTTGTTATTTTACTCTTTGTTTGTTTATTCGTCATTTATCATTTTTTGCCATGACGTTATAAGTTTCTCTTCGACCGATGAATTTTGAATGTCCCCTTGGTATCTTTTTTTAACAGAAGAAACCTTTTTCCTTAATATATTAATTTTGAATCATTTTACAAGCAATCACAGAAACAGTCCTGTAATCTACCCAGCAAGGAATAACTATTACAAGTCTTTGCAATGGTAAAAAATAGTTTCACCGAATTATTTATTATGATGACTTTTGAACACCTTTGAGTAACATGTACTCATGATTATAAAACACTTCAGACTATTTTTTGTTTGTTTTTTCTCGGTACATAAAGGGCCGAAAAAATATATAAACATATATATCTTGGGTGTTTTAAAGCACATGTCTTTTTTTATTAAGTGTTTCTTTAAACTATTTTGGAATTTGAGGTGACATGGTTACTTCAGCTTGTCAACAGGAAAGAAAAGGCGGGAAATTAATTGGTTAACTTCAGGTGATGATTATTATCTTATATGCAATGAAATGTTATAAGAAATGTTTACTGTAGTACTGGACAGGATAAAACTTTATGTATGCCAAGTATTTCTTTATTTCAAACAAAGATAAATTCTGCAATGTTTGGGAATAATTGAAGAAAGACTAATAGGGGAAAACAATTTAGGTATAACTTCAATTTTGGGAAGTTACATATGCATCCTTGACCTTGTATGTACTCTCATATTTTTGTCACTGAAATATTGCAAACATTAAATTGTCTGAGTCGATTGAGTCTCAAAATCACATTTTATGGAACATTGCCTTGAAACAGGGCTCTACCATGAATAGCAAAAGGCAAAGCAAGCCATACTCAGTGTTTTGGGAAGCTTTTTCTGACTTTTTCTCCTCATTTCCTATAGTAGGTGTTAAAAGAAAACTTTTTCATAAGTAATTCTTTATGAAATATACAGTTATAAGTAGTAAATAAATAATTTTTGAACCAGTAAAAACAAATTATTAACTAAAAGGGAACCATTCTATGTCCCTCTCTGGAACGCGGACTTATTGAAACCTCCATGGAGTCAGCAAATTTTTATATAGATAGTTCATTCAGCTTCAACACTTCAATTACTCATTTATTATCACATTTCTTACGTAAATGTGTGAAAAGGAAAAAAGCACAAATACCGAGCTCTAAGGGAAATTCAAAACGGAAAGTCCTTAATCAAATGGCAAAATTAAAAGCTCAAACACATCAAACGAATGGAAAACAATTTTCATATTCCTGACTTGGTAGATTAATCCTGGTTTTATAGCTAGATGAACCTGTCACTTGTATGACATACAAATACAGTGAAACATTAATTATAAACATTCGTTCTCATAAAAAAAACCTGGACCCGACCGATGAAATTTTTTTCTTTAAGAACACTTCCTTTTTTACTATTATTCGTGTCGTCTTTGGTCAATTAATTAATCATTAAAACGGGAAAACAATCTAGTAAACAATGTTTTCAATAGATATCTTTAAGAATAAGAAAAATATACTACTATGTAGGATTGTAAATTATCAGCTGCAACTCAAATATGAAGCTTTTTATGCAAAAGTTGAAATAGCCTACCAAACAGAAATGCTAAATAGCAGAATTTCGAAAATACATTTAGTTGACATGAAAATAGTATCTGCTTACCCATCCCGCTTTTTTGTTCGGTTCGTGTTTCTCAGTCTTAAGTTTCACGGAATTTTTTTATTATGATGACTTTTTAACACTTTTGAGTAACATTTGCTTATGATTATAAAACACTTCAGACTATCTTTTGTTTTTTTCTCAGTACCTAGATACTCTTTTCATAGGTTTTAATGTTTGATTAAAACGTTTCAATCAACGGCAGATCATTGGATGTTCATTGGATGTTCTTTTGTCATTTCATTCATAAGATTTGCAACGTGTAATTTATGATATACAAATACCTGCATAATTCCAGAGCTTTTAGCATTAAGAAGGTTTCTGTGGATAACTCTTTTACGTTAACAAATTATAAAGAAACTAAGGTTTCAACTGCTTCAACTTCCGTATCCCTGGTTTTCAAATTAGGTTTGGACGTTCCTAATGAAGGTGAATTCATACAAATGCTTCAGACGCACGAACTTTATATAAAAGAGTGGCGAAAGAAACCAAAGTGATATCCAAACTCATAAGTTGAAAACAAACTGGCATGGCCATGGCAAAAAAAAAAAAAAAAAAAAAAAAAAAAAACAACCAAAAGACCAACAACAGTATTCAAAACACAATATAGAAAACTAAAAACTGAGCAACACGAACCCCACCAAAAACCGGGTGGTGATCTCCGGTATAATGTTATTTTAATTAACTACTTGGTGACATGTTTTGATGGAAATGTTTGTCAACAATTAATAGGTTGATTATATTATAGGGCAATATTGAAACTTCTTAACAAAATGTTTTTAAACTTTGCCCAAAATATTCTCTATGAAATGTAAAATTAATTCAATAGATTTCATAAACATGGTCTATAATTACCTTTCGCCATATTCCGACCCCGAATTGTTTTGACGCACAAAACCGATAAGGTTATCACTTGCAGAATGACAATACAAATACTGATAATGATCCAGGCATTAGACGTAAAAAAGGAAGACGAGTCGTTTGTTTCGGCTGGTGAACCGGTCTGAAAGAAAATTGTTGACCAGAACATACAGTGTTTTTAATGGCCGTCTTGATGGTACTGTTCAATGACATAATTCCACGATTAAGATCATTCTTGTTCAACGATGTGATATCAATTGTTATAGTGAGGTTTTGGCCATCTTTATTGATATTTTAGTAATGTTTATAATATTGAATAGGAGCTCACTATCTTGTATATTTATTTTCATCGATTCAATATTAAACGCACAGTCGTACTGAGATTCCTTTAATTGATATGTTAAAGAAAAAGTCTTGGAAAGTTGAGTTTGAATATCTTTGAAAAGAGTAACTGGATCTTTAGATTTTGACATAGCCACGACATGAAGATAAGGTCTGGTCTTGAGTACGTTTTCACTAGGTTCAATTGTCCATGTTTCACTGACAGCATTTAGTGTTCCTGTGTTTAATATAGCGCTTGGACAGCCACTAACATTTACATTTTCGACCATGGCAGTAATATTAGTGTTGTTTTCTAACTGGCTTGTTGTGCTTATTTTTATTCCTCTGGTATACAACGGTGATTTCAGAGACCATTTTTGAATAACATTTTCCTGTGCTGGTTCGATATCCATCTGCACGAATGTTTTATTAACTTCATGAAGATAATACAAGCTGAAATTCAATGTAGAATTCGACTGAATTTGGATGTCAATTACTCGGACTTTGACCTCAAACGAAATTAAAATCTGATTTTCAAAATCATGCCTTTTGCTGATTTTATCTACGTGTGGAAATATTAAGTCACTACAAACTGAAAATAGAACAAACAAAATAACAACCTTTTATATTCAATGCAATATAATTATGATTTAAACAGTACAAACAGCATGTAGAAGACACGGATGGGCCAAAAATTCGAACAAAGTCATGGATGTTCAAAATTATTGGCCGGCTAACTTAAGATTTACCAATACGGTTACACATAACACCCAATATTTCCCGAAAGATGATGGCTTTCTCTTCCCTTAGAGCACAAGTTGTAATATATATGTTAAAAATGATAACAAGTCATATTTTAAGAAAACAATTAAGAAATGTTAGAGGAAGGTTGAGCGCTCTCAGACATGTTTAACCCCGTTAATTCTGCCTGTCCCAAGTTAGCCATTAGTTGCCGCTGGTTGCTGTCTGTCATATTTGTTTTTAGTTTATTGGTTTGTCTTAAATCAGGGCGTTTGTTTTCAATTTGAAATGTTTTCACATTTTGTCATGTTGGTGCCTTTTATTGCTGAATATACTGTGTGTGCTTTTCCTAATGTTTGTGGGCGTAAGGTGACCTATAACTATTTAAATCCACGTCATTGGACTCTTGAAGATATTTGTCACCTTGTCAATCATACCACAGCTCCTTTTTTAAATGGTAGATGTTTTGCCCGACCCCAAAACAATATCTAATTTAAACCTCCAGTATATTCTCCCAATACATGACCAAATATTAAAACAAGAAATGAAAAAAAAAGTTCGAACATTACAAAAGTGCAAATAAAATCATGTGTCGACAAAAATAATACACATAATATTAATTATTTACTGAGTATGAACTTTAATGTCCACTTCGTTTGAATAAATTGTAATTGATATGTTATAAGGGAGATAACTTTCGTATTCGTTATTCCTTTGATATATTTAACATTGTGGATAAATCTATAAAAAAGTATAACAACAATACCGAACTCCAAGGTTAATTCAAAAAAGGGAAGTCCATAAAATCTGACAAAATCAAACGTTACCAATCATCGGAACGAGTGAAAAATAACTGTCATATTCCTGACTTGGTATAGGCATTTTCAGAAGAAAAAGGTGGGCTCAACTTGGTTTTATAGCTAGCTTATCCCCCCACTTGTATGACAGTTGTTCATAGTTTTTCAGTATACTGTTTCTTGGTAATTAATTTTCTTTGTTTTATTATTATATGATAAGGCCGAAATTGAAGAAAGACCAATGCTTGACCATCATTTCAATAAACCTACTTACTTTCATACGCCAGAAAAGTACTAAAATATTAGAATGAAAAACAAAGGCTGTCTATAAATGTTAAGATAAAATACTATTTGTTTTTGTAGGAAATGTAAATAAGTTAAGGAATGTAAGCACGTGATATGAAACTTGAGTAAAAAATATATTCTAGGAATTGATTTTTCTTTTCTGAGATGTATTTTTATTTCAATCATTTATCTCTTCTTTAGAATTAATTACACTATCAGGTGTACAGTATTTTAATATAAAAAATATAAAAAGTGTATACTTTTATAATGTTTTTCTTCATTGAATATGAGAATAAGAAGATGCGGTATGATTGCCAATGAGACAACTTTCCACAAGAGACCAAATTGACGTAGCAGTAAAAGTTAGCAACTACAAGTCAAAATAAAGCCTTCGTCAATGAATACCCATACCACATAACAATCAATAAAAGGCCCCGACATGACAATATGTAAAACAATTTAAACTAGAAAACTAACGGTCTGTTTTATGTTCAAAACAATAAAAAAAATGATATACAGCAACAAACAAAACAACCATCGAGTTACAGGCTCCTGGCTTAGGATTAGCACATACAGAATTTGACGGGGTTAAATATGTATGCGGTGGCCAAACCCTCCCTTTACCCAACCTTACCCAAGGACAGTGATGTAACAGCACAACATAAGAACAAACCATAAAAATCAGATCGAAACAATGCACAAAAAAAACCCCAAACAAAAAGACATAAGACACAAATTACCGATATGAGAATTCTCGCAGTTATTGAAAGCTAGTTCAACGCCAATAACAACTAATAAAAAATCACGTATCCAAGACTAAAATATCAATCAGTACTCATCTAATGGATTTAGTGAAAAGGGGTCAAAAACAGTCAGAGAAAACGGGAAGTTAATTTCAAAACCTGAGTTTCACGGCATTTTAACAACTAGAATTGTTATACATGATTGAAGAGACGGAAGAAACCAAAAGGACATACAACATGTTTAAAATCCATCAGTCAGGGAACAACAGACAACTCTATGGTAAAAAACGAAACACAACGAAAAGACAAACAACATTATACAAAACACTTTATAAAAACTAGACACTTTAGCGACATGACCTACCCCTAAAACTAGGGATGTTCTCAGGTCCTCCGGAAGGTTAACAAGATCCTGGTCAATATGTGGTACCCGTGACTAAGTGCATTGCTCGCAAGTGAAAAGTAAAATCACAAAAATACTGAACTCCGAGAAAAATTCAAAACGGAAAGTCCCTAATCAAATGGCAAAATCAAAAGTCCAAACACATCAAACGAATGGATAACAACTGTCATATTCCTGACTTGGTACAGGCATTTTCTTATGTAGAAAATGGTGAATTGAACCTGGTTTTATAGCTAGCTAAACCTCTCAATTGTATGACAGTCGCATTAAATTCCATTATATTGACAACGATGCGTGAACAAAGCAAACAGACATAATAAGTAAAAATGTAAAAAATAGGGGTACAGCAGTCAACATTGCTCAATCACTATAAAAACAAACAAATATGTAACAAAGAAGCACAAAAAGTCATATATCAAATTTAACAACCTCATTCATTGCTTTTTTGTTATACGATTTTATTTATCTATGTTAAATCCCCTCATAAAGGATTGAAAGATTTTAAGTACTGGGACCGAATCCTTACCCTGTTTAATACGAGTGTGCATGCCTTACGTGCAATAATGCCAGATATGGTATGGTTAGTTACCTGCTGTTAACGGTTTATGTGGCTTCGGGCCTATTTCGTTAATTCCAACTTCTTCCATGTTTTCTAAACTGACCACATTCGTCATGCCTTGACCCCAAAACGACTCTCTAGGTACAGAAGATAAGATATGGATAAAACCACTGTCACGGAATTTTAATGGCTGTCCTTCAAGGTAAGCTGTATTGTTACTTTGGAAAGTGAACTGTACTGGGTATATTTTTGAATCTATAACAACGTAAATCATTTTAATCATCTATTGTACAAAAACTCTTAGCACGAACGACCAAATTGCACTCAAACGGTTTTTACAAAAAGTGACAATAAGTTAACAGTACATGTTCATCTGCATAACATTGAATACTGTTCAGACACTTCCTTTACAGTTAAATAAGACTTGATAAATCTATTTCAAGAATTTTCAGTATCTTTTTTTACTTGTTTATAGTAAAACCTACTGACCATTTGCATATAAACTTTAGCAATTGGCTTGCTGTTGCATTCAAATAATCTCTAATTGGTTTTGAATTATGTGCATCCCGTGAGTAACAAAGATATACCTTGGTGTATATATGATACATGTATTTATTTTGATGAGTCAACATTGTATATCAATGAAAATATTAATTTATAACAATTCCTTGAGACACGATTTGAATGTTTTATGCAGCTGGTTCAAAGTCCACACCCTTCTGGAAAAAAAACCTATAATATTTTTTATCACAATCTAAGAAAACCTTAAACGTAAACTTAATCTACAAATCATCCTTATCACAGGAGTGTTAAAAAGAGGAACACATATCCTTAATCAGTATAGAAATTACGAATTGAAAGAAAGAGAGGAGTATTAAATACGATTTTTTAATATAATGTATTCAGTAGGAAAAATCATTAGAAATTTAAAAAGGACAAAGAACGGAAAAATAATGAGATCAGAGAATTAAGTGAACTAAACGCATTGTTAACGATATTGTAGACATGAAAAGGTATTAATTAAAAAAATTTAAAAGCGTGGTTTCCATATTTAAGTTATCAATCAGACTGAGGCTATACAGATTGAGAATTAAAAAAACACAGACCATCAAAGAATTGTCACATCTCTAAATCCATACTCCTACCAAGAATACATATATACAAAATTAAAACCTTTTTGATCTAATTCCAAAACTTTACTCAGTGAAATGCTATTTTACCATCAGAAACGGATATTGTGTTTATCCGCAATGCAAAATACGGAAAAGTCATAATTGCGAATTCTTCTGACGAGGAAATATTCAAAACCCTGAAATGCAATGTGTAGCAAATAAAAAGAAAATTGTCCTGCAAAAATTCATTTTGACATAATATTTGACATGTTGCAATATACTCAAGTCCGGTTGATTATGTACAAAACATATGAAAATATTATAAAGCAATAGTTACAATGACAAAATATTAAACAAAGTACCTATTGACGGACTGCTTGACTCTAGACCGTTTACAATCTCATACACCTCACCCTTTGCGTAACCCCAGTCCCATTTAACTTTTCTTTTCACTCCATCAATCATTGACCTAATTTGTAATTGCCATATTCCGTATGTTGATTCTCCTGATTTTCCCTGCAATTATAAAATATTGTGAAATGGTCTTATATCCACTTGATTTGAACTTTGGTGGATAGTTGTCTCATTTACAATCATACCACATATCCTAATTTTTGCATTATAGATAACTTGGTTTGTAAACAAGGTCCAATGCATATCCTATTATAAAAGTTGGTGTAAACGGGAGAAATCTTATAAAAAAAGCTCTTGGTTCTTATTTATATAAATGTATGAACGTTGTGAATATTCGAATATCACATTTAAAAAAATTTAGAAATTTAAAAAGGGGCTGCTTATATGCCTGTTTCTAGAATAAGAAAAAAAACAAACTTAAGGTACTCGCAAAGCGGTTTGTGTTCGTACGGGCAGATAAAGCAGCAAACAATGTGGTGGCGGTGTGACTTGAATACGAAACGAGAGTTTTTGAGAGTGAAATTACAAAATCTTTTACATTCAAGTCGGTGCGCTCCACAGGGAGTCAAATAGTAAACAATCATATCATGATCATATCTCAGATTAAGGCTCATCTGAAGATTTGAAGGTCCGTACTATGTATTTGCTACCTCAATTACACACAAAACCGTCAACAGTCGTTTCATCTCGGCCTGTATTAAGTGTTCTATAACTAATCTTTCGGAGCTTTTAACTAGCTCCCTAACCACTATCAAAAAACTTATCATTAACGTCTGTAATAAATTATATGAAAATAATGGTATGAATTATTTCGGGAGTGTAAAATAATTTTTTTGATGTCTAAAATAAGTTACATGCTTTTGATGGTCTTTTAAATTTGATTGACAGTTTTGAATTTTGGACTCGCACAATCTTATTAAACAAAAGTTTTCTTATTTGATAAAATGGTCCTTTGACAAATTATATCGACAGGATGTAGCTTTTCCTGTGGGCACTTATTGCGCTGCTTTGATATGAGACTTGTTCCAGTATTGTTATTAACCTCAGTTTATTGCCAAACTCAGTGAAGATCCGTGTAAATATCATGAAACTGATAATTTCAACAACAGCTACCGTTACCTTGATGCTATTTGTCTTAAAAAAATCAAGAATTCGCTAAATATACTGCCGAAATTTACCAAAAGGAACTAAAAAAAGAATCTAATGAAAGTGGCAATAACGGCACTTTCCTAGACTTAAATATTTCAGTTGCACACGTGACACTCTGTACTAAAATTTATGACAAAAAGGACGATTTTTTTTATTCCTATTGTTAACTTTCCTTTTTTTGACAGTGATGTTCTTTTGGTCCAATCTTACGGTATTTATATCTCCTAACTCATTTACTATGCCAATGATTGTAGTGAAGTTATAGATTGCAATGAGCGTAATATATGCATCACTGATGAAATATTGATTCAGGGTTTTTGAAACCAAAAATTATTTATACCTTAACTAAATTCATTTCTAGATTAAAAGTTTTTATCGGAAAGTTTGGCTGAAGAAGAATACGAAAACTTATCACTAACGATGTATCATAATTCTTACAGTGATGTTGCTTTAAGAACCCGTAAATTTAGATACGATCCATGTTAGCTTATCAATCCTTGGAATAAATTTATTCTAAAATGTTATCAATTAAACACTGTAATAAGATTTTTGAAATATTTTTTTCCATCGATAATAATATTGATGTTGTTTCCAATAAATTAAAACATAACTAAATTTGTTTTCCTATACAGTTATTTACACTGACGGTTCTCCGTTCTACATCATGTCGATACTTATGTTTTCGCATTTCAAAAATTAGGTTTTTCTGGACTGTTTATGACGTCTAAACACTAAATCCATTGGATGTGTTCTGATTGATATTTTGTCTTGGAAACATGTTTTTCCTATTAGTTATTATTGACTTTGAGCTAGCTTACAATAGCTGCGAGTACTCTCAGATAGGTATTTTGTGTCTTTAGGGATTTTTTGGGGTTTTTTTGTGCTTTGTATCAATCTGACGAATCAAAACTTTCCCAATGATTTTTATAGTGTGTACCATGCACTGCTGTTACACCAATATCCCAGGTTAGGGGATGGTTGGGCGTCCTCAAACCTGTTTAACCCCGCCATATTCTGTATGTGCCTGTCTCAAGTCAGGAACCTGTTATTCAATGGTTGTTTTTTTTTGCTGTTAATCATATTTACTTTCGTTTGTTGTTTTGAACATAAATGAGACCGTTTGTTTTCCCGTTTGAATTGCTTTTCATTTTGTAATGTCGGGATCTTTTATAGCTTGCTTTACGGTATAGGGTTAACTCATTATTATAAGTGACCTGTAGTTGCTAACATCTTCCCCATTTGGTCTCTGGTGGATAGTTGTCTCCTGGGCAATCATACTACATCTCCTTATTTTGATTGTTAATATCATAAGATAAGAACTAATAAATCATGTTCTCAATACATTGAGGAAAGTTCAGTGTTGTAACGAAATCCATTCTTTACATTGCATATATTTTCAGGAGGTTTTAGTTATTCAGATGTTGCATATATTTAGAGGAATAATTTAAACAACACACTGCATGGTTGTACCTTTTCTGCATTCGGTCATTGATAAACAAATAATTTAAACGAGATTGTTATATCATAACATAATCTTTTTTACATACACGGGTACACTAAAATGTTGATATATAGTTGCTATTGTGTACTATTACAGGCTTTTAATTATTTAATTGTCATTGTCATAAAAAACTAATCAATGAATCAAAACATTAAGAATTTGAATTCACAAACTTGTCAAAGCTTTTACTAAATGTTATCATCGGTACAAGAACACCATTCGTAAATATAAATCAACGTGCAGACATCTTATACGTTAGGGTACTTCACAACCAATCGTTTATGGTAATATTTTATTCAGAGCACAAATGCTAATCAAACCTTTAAACAGACTTATTCACAAGGGATATAGTAACGATACTGTTGTCAAGTCATTAAAGAATTAAAGATGGCATTTTTTGGAATTAATATTGATTCACTCATAGGGTCTTTGCATCGGAAATAAACACACTTATTCTAAAACCAGTAGTTGGTATGCTACGGGTTATGTTCTTCTCGTATATTTTATGATGGCATGATACTTATTCCCTAACGGGAGGGATTGTGCTTGATTTTCATATGATGAAGACATAATCTTTCAATCAGTTTAATTGAGGTCTGGAGCTGGCATGTACTGCTAGTAGTCCTTTGTTAATTTATGTCAACCATTGTCATTTTGCTTAGTTTTTTCTCTTACCTATTCTGACATCGGACTCGGACTTCTTTTAATCTGAGTTTTACTGCGCGTATTGATGTGTGTTTGTTTATTACACATTGGCTAGACGTATAGGGGAGGGTTGAGATCTCACAAAAAATGTTTAACACCGCCGCATTTTTACGCATGTCTCAAGTCAGGAACCTCTAGTCTTTGTTAGTCTTGTGTGTGTTTTTTTATTTGGTTCATTTATATGTTTTGAAGTTGAGTGTGGCGTCCATTTCACTGAACTAGTATACATTATCGTTTAGGAACCAGCTGAAGTCCGCCTCTGGATGCGGGATTTTCTTGCTGCGTTGAAGACCCATTGGTGGCCTTCGGCTGTTTTCTGCTCTTTGGTCGGGTTGTCGTTTCTTTGACATATTCCCAATTTCCATTCTCAA